TTCAAAAACACTTTTTTCCTTATCTCATGTAGTCCACAGTGTTCTTGAACTCCTGATCATCCTGCCTCCATTGCACAAATTCTAAGATTCCAGACAGTGGGGGCCAGGACCTTAACTTCTTTTAATACTAATAATGACTCCCTTGACTTTTTTTTTTAAGACTTTATTTATTTATTATGTATACAACATTCTGCTTCCATGTACATCTGCACACCAGAAGAGGGCACCAGATCTTATAACGGATGGTTGTGAGCCACCATGTGGTTGCTGGGAATTGAACTCAGGACCTCTGGAAGGGCAGTCGGTGCTCTTAACAGCTGAGCCATCTCTCCAGCCCCCTCCCTTGACTTTTTTTGAGACTCATGTAGCATGATGCCCAGACACACACAGGAAAAGCACCATACACAGAAAATAAAAATAAATAAAATCTCAAAAAGAAATTACTAAAGGCATTTTGCTGACAGGAAAGAGAAGCTGCTCTAGCAGGCCTGGAGATAAGCGTACAGGGTGACCCAGCTCCCACTGGTCTCCTATACCCTCATGACAAGTGTCCACATCACTTGGATGGCAGAAGCTGCTCCCATAACAACCAGGACTGAGGGGAGTGAGCAGCACTGACAGGGACAGGAGTCTGCTCCACAGCCTCCCAGTCTGGCCTCACTTTCCTTATCTAATGGGTCTTAGCTTCAAGTTCTAGCACCTGGCAATTCTGCCACTCAGCAGCTCACCCAGGCAGGTGATTTATTAGTTTCGAAAGGACAACACAGAAAAGTCCATCTTCAGTCCCAGCCCTCAGATCTGCCCAGCAATCATTCCTGGTGAGTGGGAGCTGATGAAATGCAATGATAACTTCAGAACTGATCCAGACCTCACAGCTCATTCAAGCCAAGCCTCTCATTCCCATTTCCTTATCACCTGATAAGGAAATCAGGTGTTCTGTTGTAAAACTTGACATGGTGGTTTGAATCTGGATGACCCCATAGACTCAGGTGTTTGAAGGTTTGGCCCAGGGGGTGAGGGGTGGGAGAGTGGAAGTGGGGTAGCACTATTAGGAGGTGTGGCCTTGTTGAAGGAGGTGTGTCGCTGTGGGGGCGGGTCTTGAGGTCTCAAACTCAAGACCTGTCAGTGTGTCAGTCTCCTGCTGCCTGAAGGAACAAGATGTCGAACTCTCAAGCCCTTCCATGTCTGTCTCCCTGCCATGCTTCCCATGATAATAGATGGACACTCTGAAACTGTAAGCCACCACCTCAATTAAACGTTTCCCTTTATAAGAGTTGCTGCGAGCCAGGTGATGACTGCTTTTAATCCCAGCACTCTTTTGCTTGTTTGCTGTTTTTCAAGGCAGGGTTTCTCTGTAGCTTTGGAGCTTGTCCTAGAACTAGCTCTGTATACCAGGCTGGTTTGGAACTCACAGAGATCCTCCTGCCTCTGCCTCTGCTTCCACCCCCCGAGTACCGGGATTAAAGGCATGCGCCACCACCACCGCCTAGCATTAGTGTTCACTCTTAGAAGACTTATAATGAAAAGAAACAGGCTGAGCAAGGAAAAATATAAAACATACAAATTGAGGAGAAAGGGGGCACCAGAAAGTGTAATGGAGCTAAATCTGCCTTCAAGGAGATAAACAGATTTAAAAAGTGCTGACTGCTAGGCCGGGCATTGGTGGCGCACACCTTTAATCCCAGCACTCGGGAGGCAGAGGCAGGTGGAACTCTATGAGTTTGAGACCAGCCTGGTCTACAAGAGCTAATTCCAGGACAGCCTCCAAAGTGACAGGGAAACCCTCAAAAAAACATTAAAAAAAAAAAAAAAAGAAAGAAAGAAAAAGAAAAGCTAAGGTCGAGGCATGGTGGTGCACATCTTTAATCCCAGCACTCAGAAGAAAACAGGCAAACGTCTCTCTGAGTTTGAGGCAAGCCTGGTCTACCTATCCGAGTTTCAGGACAGCCAAGTTTAGGTAGTGAAGGAAACCACTGAAAACAGAAAGCTGGTGAAGACATAAATGAACAAGGTGACCATATTCCAGTCCCAGCAAGCTTTAGTCACGTGGTTCTGGCTTTATAATCAAGGGTACAAGAAAGGGGTTCATGGAATCTCCCTCTGAGACTAAGGAAAGACTTACATGCAGAGCAAACACTCAGACATAACAAAATAAGTTTTTAGACATATTTAAAGAGCCAGGCATAGAGGAGGCCAGGGGAGGCAGAGGCAGGTTGACCTCTATGAGGTCAAGGACAGCCCTGGTCTACACAGTGAGTTCCAGGACAGCCAGGACTACATAGTGAGACCCTGTCTCAAGACAAACAACAAAAATTTAGAGAATGCTTTGCTTGTTTTTAATTTGGGCTGTTGTAACAGAATTTCTATTTATTGTCACTGAAGCCGCTCCATCAGGATCAAAGAATCCAGAAGTAACCAGACACTTTGTGAACTTTTCTCATCTCTAACCCTGTAAAGAAGAGAGAAGTGGCTAGATTCTGCCCTGCTGGCCACCCTGCACACATCATTCACAAGAGTTCAGATGGCAAAACTCTGTCCTGGAAGCAAAGCACCTTGTACAGAAGTGAGCAGCAGCTCTCCCCAATGGCCCTGAGCTCTGGGCTCTCTGCCTACTGAGAGTGCACAGGCACAATACTTTCCTCACCAGACAGGTATTAAAAGTGCCATCCATCATGGCAACACTTTTATGCCTCAATAATAAACAAGACAAACAGGGGAGCTGAGAAACATCCTTTTAATTGTTTACTTGCTCTAATAAAAGCAGTACAATTAATAATGACTACTTTTGGGGCAAGTACAATGTACTAAAGAAACACTGCCGTGTTTCTTTACAAATAGGGCATTTCATTTAGCCTTCACAGAAACCCTGAGGGAAGTGTTTTTATTCCCGATTTCATAGATTAGGAAACTGAGGCCCAGGCTGGAGAGATGGCTCAGCTGTTAAGAGCACCGACTGCTCTTCCAGAGGTCCTGAGTTCAATTCCCAGCAACCACATGGTGGCTCACAACCATCTGTTATAAGATCTGGTGCCCTCTTCTGGTGTGCAGATGTACATGGAAGCAGAATGTTGTATACATAATAAATAAATAAATAATCTTTAAAGAAAAAAAAAGGAAACTGAGGCCCAGACAGATTGTCAATCGTATGGGTAAAATAATTTAAATAACAACAACAATAATAATAATCTGGACTCCAAAATTCTTGCCTCTACTGCTCTGTTTCAAAATGAAAAACAAGCCAGAGGTTTGAGGAAACTGAAGATTCTTCCTATGTAGCAAAAGTAATGTTTTTGGGCCATCAAGGTGCTCAGACCTAGGGCAGTGGTTGCACACACACTCGGGAGGCAGAGGCGGTGGATCTCTGAGTTTGAGGCCACCCTGAAATTTACTATTTGAAATAGTACTTTTAAAGCTGACTTCCTATAGCCCAGTAGACGAAATAAAGAAAACAAAAGACCATTAATGCGTCACATCTGGCAGTCCAAAGGCACAAAGAAAGATCACTCATCTCCACTGTCCTCATCGCTGCTTCCTGATGTGACCATTTTTTCACTGATTATTATCTTAGGACATCAAAATGTAATGATCCCTCCATAACAAACTCATAGAGAACAGTCGACACAGCCAGAGAACTCACTGGAGCAGGAAGGAACATAAATCAGTGGCAGGAAGTGAGGCTTATCTAAAAACACAGAGTGTCACTGTACAATGTGTGAACGTTGTAACTCCACAGCACCTTAATCCAATGCTACCTTTGCCTCCCCTGGGATTATATTACCATGTGCTGCTAAAATCTGGTTCCGAAACTTTCTCCATGTGTCTCATAAGTTCCACAGCCAATATGGACTATCGTTTCTCTCCTCTTGAAGAAGGGGGTGGGATGCCGGCTGTAGCTCAGTGGTAGAGTATTTGCCTTGCACGGTGTGAGGAGAGACAGTAAGAGGGAGAGAGGAACAGAAGGAGACAGAGAAGAGAAATTTCAGGAGGGAGTGGGGGGAAGGAGTGGTGGGAGAGGGAGAAAGTGAAGAGGGGAGGGAGGGAAGGTGGGAGGGAGGAGAGAGAGGTCACAGGTCAAAGGATTATACCTGAAGGAAAGGATAGGTGTAAATCAGTCAGGAAAGACAACAGGTGGGGGACACCACCAGACACAAATTCTACCACCAAGTAGCCTGTGGCAGGCAGAAATCTTACATTCGGTAAACACGTACTCCTTTCTCTTTCCAAGACACCACCCAAAACAAACTGAACCAGTAAACCAACGGCAGACTGATGGATGGACAATTGCTCAGAAGGTCAACATACACCAAGAGGAGAAAGAAAAAGCTAAGAAAATAAGTTGCTTGGGAGGCCTGCTCTCCAGCAGTACTGGGGAATAAAAGAATGTGATGCATCCACACAAAAAGAACAGGGCTTCTGGGGGGTGGGGGTGGGGGGGGAGTTAAATTGGATTGCACAAAAGATTAGCAAATGCCAAGGGAGTAACTTCACTCTCCATCCTGTGACCACCCTATCGTAATTTCTAATGAGAAAGGGCCAACTCAAGACAAAGTCGGGTCACTTCCCCGGCTCACGCCCCTGCTGCCCGGGCTGGCCCACCAGAACTCCTGGGGAGTCCAAAGGGAAGACAGGAACGTGTCGGGCTAGAGCAGCAAGGCCAAGGGCCACCCTCACCAAGCAGCCAGCCACGCTGTGGGAACTCTGCCCCTGAGGAGTTGTGCACCAAGTGGGAAGCGGCTGTGCAGGCGGTCCTCCCAGGCCAGGCTGACAGCCGCAACTCCCCCAACTCCACGCCCGTCACACCGGCGCCCCGGACGCCTCCCAGCTCAAGTTCCCCGCCCCCAGACCCCAGCCTGCACCCCACACCCACGCCGGCCAGGCTCCTCAGAGAGGCAGCTGCCCTCCCCCCGGCCTCGGGGGCGCCCCAGGCCCGCGGCACTCGGGGATCGGGACCCGGAAGGCTTGGGGTCCAATCCCCACTCCCCGCGGCGTCCTGGGCTCACCTCCCCGGCAGCTTGGCGCTCCTCTTCCAGAACTGCTTGCTGTTCTCGGCGGCCATCGCTCCGGCCCGGGGGAAGGCCTGGTCGGTGGGTCACGGGGGCGCCCCGCGACAGGCCCCCGGGACCCCGCAATCTGAGGGCCAGCCCAGGCCGCTTGCCCGCCGCCGGTCACCCGCTCCCAGCTCCTGGGGGCGCCATCTTGGATGTGGGCACTCCCCCCGCCCAGCGCCGTTGCCATTGGTGGGCTGCGCAGGCCGGTGGGCGGACGGACCAATGAGGATCCGGGATCCTGCGGGCCGCTGAAGCCCCGCGGCAACGTCACGGGCTGGGCACACAGGTGGGCCGGAGAGGCGGAGCTTAGATGGGCAGGAAGGCGGGGCTGAAAGTTCCTACTCGGTGGAAGCAGAGAACCAGGTAAAAAAATAAGAGAGGAGAGTGAGAGACAGAGAGAGACCCACTGGGAAGTAGGAGATGAGACTGTTGGTTTTGATGGGCTGAGGTTCTGGGTCTCATGGGGGCGAGCGGAGGGAATACCATAGCATTCATATACAGAAATCTTAAACCTACAAGTAAGGCCTCACTCATGCGCTAACTGTAGACCAACTCAGTGGTACCCAGGGTTGTTTCTTCCCCTCCTTCCTTCACGATGCCAATTTCTTAGAAGACAGGTTTGGCTAGAGCCCAGGGTGGGTAACTGTTGCCGGAGTAGCAGTTGGCTCATCAGAACCTCCCTCTCCTCTGCTAACTGAACTCCGTGCTTGAGTGATGTAATCCCTCCTTCAGGTTTTTCTCTTCCTGCTTATGAGGACCCAGATACTGAGAAATCATGCTTAGGAAATACTACTTTTCCCTCCCAGTTCAGATTTCCATTTCCGCTAAGGATGTCCGACATCTCCATGGCACCAATGAGGAAGATGAAAGATGAACCCCTTCCCAATATCCTTAACGTCCCTTGTTAGCCGATTACAAATCTTCCCCCTTTAGATCCGTTTTCAACATAAATTTGACTCAAAACGTGATTCAACTTTAGCATGTTGTCTCCTTTGGGCGTCATGTTCATAACTCATCTTTTAATGTTTCTGTCCTAGGGCGATTTGAGGGAAAATGGAGGGAGGGTACTTCCTACTCCAAAGTTTTTGTTTGGACAAGGAACTGTGGGCGTATGCAGGCTGTCCACCCCACCCATCCCTGTACCTCCCTATGGTTTTTAAATATGGAAAATTATTTTTATTACATTTATTTGTGCGTGTGTGTGTGTGTGTGTGTGTGTGTGTGTGTGTGTGTGTGTGTGTGTAGTGTGGACGGTAGAGGTCAGAGGATAACTTGCAGAATTCACCATTTGGGTCCAGGGAATCAAACTCAAGTCCTCAGGCGTGGCAGCAAGCCCCTTTACCCACTGAGTCATCTTGCTGACCTAACATTTTGGAGAATTCCTAAAGATCCTTCTCCCCACACCTGAAGAATGACCTTCTTTGATATGTTCTCCAGCAACATCTTTCTACTATATTACTCCCAGTTTTAAAGCTTCTTTTGCTTACTAATTTCAAAATGGTAGGATTGTGGGCCTGCAGAGATAGCTCAGGGGTTAAAAGCATGTGTAGCTCTTGCAGAGGACCTGAGTTCATTTCCCAGCACCAACAACTAGTGGCTCACAACTGCCTGTGATTCTAGGTCCAAGAGATCTGACACCCTCTTTTGGCTTCTGTGGGCATCACAAGCATGTGGCGAATATTCACACATATAAATAAAAATAAACAATTTGTTAGAAGAATGATGGGGTTGTATGAAAAAGGCCACTTCTACTGAACCTTCAATCTTTTGTAGACTTGCAGCCTATCTTTTTTCTTTCTTTTTTGTTTTGTTTTGTTTGAGTCAGGGTTTTTCTGATGTAGCCCTGGCTGTCCAGGAACTCACTCTGTAGATCAGGCTGGTCTCGAACTCATAGAGATCCTCCTGCCTCTGCCTCCCAAGTGCTGGGATTAAAGGTGTGCACCACCACCATCCATGCCTTTTCTGTCATCTTGCCTGCCAGCATTGCACACCAACGCCTAAGAAAGTGGAAAAAGGGGGCTGGAGAGATGGCTCACAGGTTAAGAGCACTGGCTGCTCTTCCAGAGGTTCTGAGTTCAATTCCCAGCAACCACATGGTGGCACACAACCATCTGTAATGAGATCTGGTGCCCTCTTCTGGCCTGCAGGGATACATGCAGGCAGAACACTATATACATAATAAATAAATTTTGGAAGAAAGGAAGGAAGGAATTTTCTCAGTTGGGGGGTGGGTGGGAACTGAACAGTCTATGCCTCTCCTTCTAAGGTCCCAATGCCAAACCAAAGTTTGACTCTACCGAAGTTCATCTTGGGAAACCAGTGAGTTTATTAGACTTACATACAGAGCATGTGAGGAGTTGTAGTTAGGAGTGTGGGTGACCCTAAAGAGCCATTCTGAGAAGTCTATATGGAGCATGGATGCTTGATTTCCCCATCACCACCCGCATGGAGCCCCTCTCCCTAAGACCTCAAAGCCTGGATTATCTGGACCCTCGGGTCAGGGTCCCACCCCATTCCTCCCTTCCTTCTATGAGGGAATATCAGCTGTGATAAATGTCAGCTGTGATAATCCTTTGCAAGCAGGTAGCTGAAGTCCTGAAAATAGTGGTTATTTGGCTCTCAAGATAATATTATACAAGAGAAAAATAGACTGAAGTCTTGTTGCAACTAATGTTATTGTCTATTTCATATATAGATATGGATATTTCACCTGTATGAATGTACTGGACCTGGAGTTATAGAGAGTTGTGAGCCACGATGTAGGTGCTGGGGGTTGAACCTGGTTCTTAACCACTGAGCTACCTCTCCAGGGTCCTTTGCCTTCATTTTAAATGAATTTTCGCTGGCCTGGTGGACTAGAGGAGCTGATGTCACACTGAGGATGGTGGTACGTGGCTGTAATTCTAGTGCTTGAGGGCCTGAGAAAAGAGAAGAGCTGCGAGCTCAAGCATGGGCCAGGGCTGCATAGCAAGGTCTCCTACTTAGGGGAAGGGGTGGGGCACATGCATGTCTGTGTGGGACACATGCATGTCTGTGCATGTGCATGAATGAGCATGCATGTGGGGTCTCTCCCCGAACCTGAAACTCACTGATTGCCTAGACAGATGGCTGATGAGACATCCACCTGTCTCCATTTCCCACCCCCACCCTCCAGTACTAGGGTTACAGATGGATGCCCAGGATCCAAACTCAGAAACTCCCGCTTCCACGGCCGGCACATTGGTGACGGAGCCATCTCTCCAGCCCCTTTGATACCTTGAAGGGCAATGTTCTTTGACTTGTAGGTTGCTTTCCTTGGTGCCAGCTGCCAATTTAGTCAGAGTGCACTGCCTTAAAGCTAGCATCTAAATCATCTTCTCCTGTAGAAGCCGCCTTATCTGTAGCTGTGCAGCAAGACAAGGTCTGCTTTGCAGCTTATGTATACGGTTTTTAAAATGTTCTGAAATGTGCTCCCTGCCTTTGTCACTTTTTCCATTGCTGTATAAAATATCCGACAAAGGCAACTTAAGGGGGAAAGGCTTGCTGGTCACATCACAGCCACAGTTAGAAAATAGAGAGAGATGGATGCCTGTGCCCAGCTCCCGTTCTCCTTATACAATCAAGTATCCTATCCCAGGGAATGGCTTCAGCCATCATTAAAGTGGCTCTTCCTACCTTAATTTGCCCACCCCAGATAACCCCCCACTGGAACGCCCAGAGGCCTCTCTGCCCTCCACACCCCACCCTACTGCCAGGGTTATGAATCTCATCAAGTTGACATTTGAGATTAGCCATCACGGTCCCTGTTTTATCATTATTGTTTTGAGGCAGGGCATCCTAGGCTGGTCTTGAACTCCTGACCCTACTGCCTCCACTTCCTGAGTGCTGGATGACAGGCTATTACTAAGGTGCCTGGCTTAGATGCTCCCTGTGGGCCTGACATTTTACTACCTGGAAAGGGAAGGATAATCTCCGAACCTTGGATCCCTTACTAAAAATCATTTACAAAACGTTAAATAACACTGACTCCCAAGGGGCATGCTTAACATTGCTCGGCTCAGAAATGTCCTAGTAACCCTGCGCTTTGTTCTCTTCCGTTCTCCACCCAAAATGTCTTCCGAAAGAAAAGCCACGGTCACCTGATGGTCATATTTTAGATAATATGTGATAGGGGAGCAAGAATATTAAATCCTTTCTCCCCCCTCTACCACAGGCACCCTAATCTAGACCAATTGCACCTCTTAATTTGTTCATTTATTTGGAGAGAATTTCCACTGGAATTATACAGCCCAGACTGGCCTCAGACTCTCACGAATCTACTTGCCCCTGAGTGCTGGGACAAAAGGTTTGCATCCACCAGGCCTGGCCAATGGTTTCTACCGAAGACTGGACCCTGAGCCTTGTGCATACCAGACAGGCATTCTCCCAAGACCTCTGTTATGCCCTATGGCAGATTCTTATTTTTCCTTGATGCATCTTAGCTCCTTCGGATACTATTCTTCCCACAGAAGCCAAAGAGCCTTTTAAAATATAGTTCCCATCATGTCCCTCTGCTCAGAACCTTACAGGGCCTCCCATCACACTTGGCCCATCAACCTTCTGACCCAGACATAATTGCACATGCCTGTGAAGGAGGGGGGGGTAAGAGGTTAGCTACACAGTGAGTTCAAGGTTCAAGGGCAGTCTGGGATAAGTGTGGCTCTGTGTGTGGCTCTGTGTTTGTGTGTGATTTGTGTCTGTGTGGGTCTCTGTCTGTATGTGTGTGTGTGTGTGTGTGTGTGTGTGTGTGTGTATCTGTGTCTTTGTGGGTCTCTGTCTGCATATGTGTGTGTGTGTGTGTGTGAGTGTGTGTGTGTACATGTCTGTCTGTGGGTATCTGTGTGTCTCTGGTTTTGCAAGT